GCGACTGCCAACAGTAGACATGCTTTTCAACAATACGACTGAGAGGCATAATAAGATCTGAAAAATTTGGAATAAACCTCTGAAAGTACGTTGCAAGACCTACCAACAAACGAACCTCTTCCCACGAAGTCGGAACCAGAAACTGCATGATTGCTTCTAAACCTTTCTTACCCGGACTAACACCTGAAGCAGAAATCTCATAACCAAGATATTGGACACTTTTCATGAAGAAGAAACATTTGTCTGACTTCAAAGTAACACCAGCGGATGTAAATTTTTCAAATACCTGTCGCAAAGTATTCAAATGCTCATCAGCTGTAGGGGAATGGACCAACACATCGTCCAAATACACCAATACATGATCACGAGTTAAGTCACCTAGTACTACATGCATCTATAAGCTTTGGGTACACTGCATTCAGTAACCAGATTTCTAAAGTCAGCTGACTTTTCCTTTGGCTTCAACACTATCTCCTCAAACCTACACATAAAATACCATCCTAGCAACAAATGGTCATCACGAACATCCAACACATGGAATCTACAATCATAGATATCACCACTAATCTGTATAGTTGTATCGAACACACCGATAACGCACAAAGAACCAGACAGATCAATCAATTTAGATTTTGTCTCTTATAGACAAACACCATTTGGAAAAGCTCTCTTAAGCAAAGACACACTTATGCACGAGACGCTCGCTCCACATCTATGACTGCAGTGAAAGACTTGCTACCAAGACGGATTTTGGTGGTTGGTGAATTTTGAGGATTTGGGGAAAAGTTACTGTTGGTATCTGAAGAAACACAGTGTACCGGAGATTTATCTGGACAATTAGTCGCAATATGTCCATATTTTCGACAGTTATAACACCGAACATTTCTGTACCTTGACTTATCACTTGACTCTGAATCACGACCATCAGCTGCCGCTGATTTTGAAAAAGTATATCTGCTGTGACTATTTGATGAACCTAAATCTCGTTTCTTTTTGTAACACTGTCGCTCTTTATGACCTGCCTTCTTGCAATAATTACACTTGATAAGAAACACAGACTTATCATTGTCCTCACACAGAGAACCCGCAAGACGTCTAGCTATGTCTACTACAGCATCAAATTTTGGAGATTTAGATTGCTCACTAATAGCAATGTTCAGTTGTTCTCTCAATTTCTTACTAGACAAGCCATCAAAAAAATCTTTGAGCACAAAGTTCACTTTTGTTTGATTTTGTGAATGAGGGGTACGCTTCATCAACCTTGATCTGAAGACGGTGGGCAAAATCATCAATAGATTCATGGGGTTTTTGACACATCTCTGAACTCCCTAGCAGCAGTTTGAGTACGCTCTTGGACCTTATCAAGTTCTTTAATCAAAGCATTTTTCAGAGTTGCATAATCAGCTTTGTTATCGTCAGGGATATCGTTAAATACCCGTGAGCAAAACCCAGCAGGAAGTACTAAAGCTAAACCACGTAACTTCTTCTCAGAGTTCCAATTAAGGCCCCAAGCTTTCACTTCATACACATTTTCAATAAAGTTCGCAAAAGTTGACTGTTTTGGATCAAACAAAGGAATTCGGAAGTGCTTGATATCACCAGAATGTTCTTGACTTGTACCACCTTCAGCCATGATGAATGGAATAGTATTCTTGCTCAAATGTTCAAAGTCAATCACAAAGTAGACGAAAAAGTTCAACCACAAGGTCAAAATGGCAAAATGGAATAAACTCACGTTACAGTTCGATGAGGAGCACATTCCTTGAATTTCTCCTTAAAGTAGCACTTTCTTCAAAGTTCTTTCATGAGTTCACGCTTCAACACTGCTGCCACCATTGTAAGGTCTTCTGGCCCACAAAACATACAACACAGAGGTACGAACACAAGACGTTTACTTGACAAGGACAATAACGAGACTGGTTACAATCGAAATCGGATCACGCGTCATAGTCCATGATTCCACGTGCAGCCACACACTACTGTTGGGGACCGTTGTGTTCGGGCGAAGCTGTCCAGTACCGGGAACAACCTCACACTATGATCTCCATTTATTTAGCAAGTTTTATCATCTAAAAAGCTGAATTCAGGCCAAATATATCTCCATATTTATCAATTTTCGTTGACGAGATACTATTGCATCTGGAAAATCAAGTCTAACCCAATGCAATGGTATTATTAGACTTATATCAAAGGCTAGGCCTATCGAGATATCGAGATTAGACTAGCTCACTGTATCAATGGATGCTGCATGGATAAAACCATGCTTGATGACACATAACCTGCAGGAATGTCAACACAAAGGTGATCCTGCTTGAATTGTTTTAAAGAAACCTTCTCGCCACGATAAAAAGAAAGAGCATTTTCTAAAACCCTAACCTTATTAATTTGTGCTCCTCTTCCGAAGCTCACTCGTACAAACGTATTTGTAAACTTTCAAGCCATTTTTAAATTTGTGCGACAAGGTAGGCCTACGATCGAGCGAGAACTATGCAACCAATCATTTACATTGCATTAGTTAGACTTGATTTAACTGACGCAATAGTATCTCGTCAACGAAGAGAGGACGTCTATGTAAAATTGATAAATATGGATATATTTGGCCGGAATTCAGCTTTTTAGATGATAAAACTTGCTAAATAAACGGAGATCATAGGTTTTTAAACACAATTATCACCAAGAGATTTCCAAATGGTATTAGGGACTATCATGAACCATTCTTATAGCAGGCTTTGAGGACTACCTAAGCATGTTTGGGTTTGTTGGAATTCATAGCCAAGCTATCAGGCTATAGCAGGCTTTGAGGACTTCATAGCTGATCAGATATATATTCACAAGAATCAGATTCATGCCATTTTCATTACATTTCAACGATCGGCCTAATCTATGATATCAATACTAGTATTCAGAGACCTAATTTTATAAATATGTGATTTTAATCTCAATAAAATCCTTCGATCTTTAAGAACAAAACATACATTTGACCATTTGTTGACTCTCAGAGCTGATGTCCAATGCTCTTCTGCCGCCTATGTTTCATGATGCACACTGGGATTACAGAGGGTCAACTGTGTGGGGTGGAGTGAGAGTGTGTCTGGCGGGCCTTATGCAGAAGATGATTTGTCTGGCAATGGGTATTTTGTAATAAGTAGAGTGTAATAGTTCATTTTATGTTGGTTCCATATGATACCATCAATGTTTAAGCCTTATGCAGAAGAAGATTTGTCTGGTGTGGCCCATTCTGTACTCTGTGATATGAACCTGTTTATTTAAACTTACCTTAATGTGGTACAATCGATATATATTCCAGCCCAATTTTACCCGTGTTTACCTGAAGGGTCAACTTTATGTGGGTGTCTGGCGGGCCTTATGCAGAAGATGATTTGTCTGGCAATGGGTATTGTGCAATAAGTAGAGTGCAATTGTTCATTTTGTGTTGGTTTCATGTGGTACCTCCAATGTTTAACCCAGCCCAAATTTTGGGACCCTCTCTGGGGGGTATGGCTGCCCTTATGCAGAGGAAAATGTGTCAGGTATGGGCCGTTTTGTACTCAGTAACATGTACCTGTTCATCTAAACTTACTTTCATCTGGTACTTTGAATGTATACTCCAGTCAAATTTTACCAGAGTGTCCACTGAATGTATTAAGGGTCAACATTTGGGGGTGTCTGGCGGGCCTTATGCAGCAGACGATTTGTCTGGCAATGGCTATTTTATACTTAGTAGAGTGTAATAGTTCATTTTAGGTTGATTTCATGTGGTACCTCCAATGTTTAACCCAGCCCAAATTTTGGGACCCCCTCTGGGGGTGTCTGGCAGGCCTTATGCAGAGGAAGATTTGTCTGGTGTGGCCCATTCTGTACTCTGTGAGATGAACCAGTTCTTTTACACTCACTTTCATGTGGTACCTCCAATGTTTGATCCAGCCCTTGAATGGTCCCTTCTTTTGGGGGGCCAGGGGCCACACGCAGCAGGGGGTCCCTGGCAGACAACCATATACGAATATGTTGGGTTACACAGTAAATGTTCCTGTGTTCCAATATTGGTACCTTGTTCGTTTGACCAAAGTGCTCTGGGCTGCTGCCCTAATATTATTCCTGATAATAAAGCACAGATCCAGATCCTTGCATCAAAATCCTTTAAAGTCATATCATTGGGTAAGTTTGAACCCAATCACAGGTAGATTCCAAGAAAACATGTGTACAGCCTAAGACGTGCGTACAGCTGATTGCTGTTTCCGGCTTAGTTTACAAGAAAATACACAAGCTAATCTGAATCGTTGTATGTAAAACAATGTCTAGCAGAACAAAAAATACAATTCAAACAGTAAATCAACATGTCTGGTGATTTTTCATCTCAAATTTCAAATTTGTACTGACCAAGTCATTTACTGGAATTCGCTGAAGGGGTAAGGAGTAATTTTAGAGGGAGTTGCGCATTATACTTGGGTGCGCACTATACTCAAGAAAATACGGTACTTGTTCCCACCAATAATGACACCCCAATTTGTCCAAGAGGTTTGAATCCAATATGCAATATGGCCTCCATGTCAGACACATTGAAAAAGCTACTTAAGGCCATTGCTGAGCGAGTAATGTTCAAAACGTAATGAAATGTTGCACATGTGTAGTTCATAGTAGGGCTGAACATACTGTTTATGTTCCCTACTTTTGCGATATTTTATTATATTTGACCTTTGCACTTCGAAGACCAGACAGAAACTTCTTATCACCATTAATCAGCCATTTCTGTTAAAAATGTAATGAAATTGGGTATCTTTTTAGTTACCTAAGTTTTCCAATATTTGCAATATTTCATGTTTTTATAAGCCAAAAAATATATCAACATGTGTGGTCTTAATTTATCACTAAACTACACACTCTTACCTGTATTCAATTGTGTGTTGTATGTGATTATAGATGTGCTACCCCCTTCACATGTAATGCAAGCCCTCCAGTTATTATCTGTTCATAGCACTCACCTGCTGTGCCTACTATTTCAGGAGGGGGATATGAACCGGAGGCACATTACTCACAGTGGCGGAGAATTCATCAGCCAATAGAAAGGAGACAGGCATTTCATGACTCCCTCATCAAGCTAATGGAAGGTAATGGAACTGGTCGACTGTCCCATCATCCTATGCTTGAATCACACTCTGTCTTGAAGGAGAAACACTTTCCAGCGCCACCTTGGTAGCTGTGTTTCAAACAAATGTAAATGTTCCAGTTACAATTATCTCCTACATGTTTGTGTATCAACTCGACTAGCAGTAATAATATTCACTGTCTCTGCATAACACACCTTTCAGCTCTTATAAAAAAACATAGCTTGGGTGTATATACCATTGGCTATATTAACATTAACATTGCACCAGTGCAATGTGGGAAAATGTCACTTCTTCCCAAGATGCAGATATATTGGGGAGATGGATGGGACAACTCCGGTACTAGAGGTAGTATTCTTAATTTATCACAATAAAAACTTTTGTTTGACAAGAAAACTTTTGATATGTTGCATCAACATGGTGGCATTTTCTTTGTTCATTACATAAAATTTACAAAAGAATAATTTCCCCAAAATAATTAATCAACACTGGGATGTATATATGAACAATTCCATTTCCAGTTTTACATCTCAAACCATGCGGCTATACTATAAGTAGTATAGTCAATAATACACCAACTGATCTCAGTTTGATATGAAATATGGAGTTAGCTGAAAAAGAAAATATAAAAATGTTCATTTATGCACAGATCTAATTGTCATTGGTCATACAAAGAGATGTAAGCTATATTTTTCTCACTGTCCACTTTTCTTTCCTTCTGTTCCATTGATGTTTAGTACAAGCTGTAAATCAGTTGTGTAAATATCTTGGAGAAGGTGTCCTAAGTTCCAGAACTTGTGACCAATCCCATTCACTTTTTGTGAAGAAAATATGTTTAACTTACCCATGTTTTTTACTACTATGCAATTATGCCCCATACATACATACATACATAAACATTCTATCATGACATTGAAGAATGCTTGATTCTGATTGGTTAAAAGAGGTTTCCTGTTTGCTGCAGAAACCCCTTTTAAATATATTAAGCTTTTTCACAAAAAAAATGTGCATATGAATAGATTGATGGCCTACATATCGATTCATAAAATATGTCTGCCAATCGATCATCCATAGAAAGTGAGTAGTATAGGTAGTGATGGTTCTGGCTCACTTCCACTGGAGCCAGATTTCTATACCTATACCGCTACTACAGATGGAATTTTTTATGTCAAAACGCTGATGCGCATCAACGATCATCATAAGTCATATTAAAAGAAACATCAATATTAATTAATAATGAATAAAATTTACTATAGCCCACGAGGATATTGTAAAGGTATAGGAGCAATACAAAAATTAGCCACTGCGGCTAAGGTATCTAAAGATGTGGCCAAGGATTGGTTAAAGAAACAACAGATGTGGCAAATATACTTACCGGCACTGCATTATATACTGAGGAAGAAGTTTGATATTTTTACAACGAATGAAGTTCATCAGGCTGACCTCTTGTTTCTTCCCCATGATAAGGTAAGACGCAAAACGTATAAATACGCTTTAACCATAGTGGATGTGGCTAGTCGATACAAAGAGGCTGAGCCATTAACCTCGAAAGATCGAAACCTCGAGTCATATATATAAACGCGGACCACTAAAATGGCCTAAACTATTTCAAGTAGATCCTGGTCGCGAGTTTATGGGATCAGTAACTAAACTGTTAACAAAGCACGATGTCGAAATCAGGCGTGCTGAAAATGAGGCCCACCATAGTCAAGCTATCGTTAAAAGATTTAAACAGACATTAGCGGAATTGGAACGATTGAGATCAACCGAATGGGTGACACGATTATCAGCTGTTGTATCAGCGCTGAATAATGAAGTAACAAGATTAATCGGGAAGAAACCATCCGATGCGATTAAAATGAAATCTGTGACTTCCGAATCTTCAGCACCGAGGAGAGGCAAGGAACAAAAACTTCCGGATAGAGTAAGCGTAAGATATTTATACCAGCCCGGTGAACTCGAGGGAGGCCTACATCACTCAACCAATCCGATTTGGTCCCTTAAGATATATAACATTAGTCGATTGGTTACGAAAGAAGGAGAGCCTATTCTTTATTATCTTAATGATGGACCGGGCAGGGCATTTGTACGAGAAGAGGTGCTCATAGTTCCCAACGATACAGTATTACCACCATAACCATAAGCATAGGTAGTTACACCATCATTATCAATCTATCTCTTTGTATCTAAGGGGGATAATGATGTCTTGTTCATTCTTAATCCATATATCCTATGATTATAACTTCTTAAAGAGTTCATCTCATGTTTGAATGTTCTACCATTGAATAATACTTCTTTATACTGTTCGTGTTTGATATGCTTTTTTACCACATACTTCTTAACACCCTTAGCTTTTCTTATCTCCCCATTATCGGACTTCTTTGTAGAATACATCTTAGGTCTTAATCCTACATACTCTGCTATAGGGGTCCCAGCACATTCATCCTTCATCTTACCTAATACCTTTTTATTTACTACACTGTGCAGTGGATTATCTTTTGGGTAATCCCTCGTGTCGTACATATCTATTTTTTCTGCCATATCTTTATACACATCCTCGGTTTGTATTTCCATCAACAAAGAATCGGTGTCGGTATATAACACCTTGCATCTATTGCCGTACTGCTTCTTAAGTTCGTTGTAATAAAAGTCATACATTAAGTGTTTTGACAAGTCAAGAATACTCATACCAACGTACACCGGTCTGTTGAATTTGATATTACTCTTCTTCATATGCAATGCAGCTAAGTCGTTAATCAATATCTTGCTTCTGTTAAAAGCTGGACTGGCTATAAGTTTCCTGAGTCTTTCTTCCTCATTAGATCTGACTAATTTAACATCAACATGCTTCCTTAGATTCTCCATAGTTTTACCAAATACTGAGTTATTCATGAGCTTATATAGATTCTTTTCAAAACCGCTGGTAGCCATCTTTCTTGAATCTGTGTTTCAGTCTTATATAGGACTCCATCCAAGGGCTTTGATCAAACTTTAGAACTCTGTGTATTTTCTTTAGTTTCATACCTAACGATAGATATAACTGGATATTTCTGTAGTGAACTATATATTTTGTCTTATCCATCAAATTTGGTACGAGTTTTTCTACGTTAGCTAACCTACTATTACCCATCAAGGAGTGTTGATATTCCGACATCCAATCTTTATTCACCATTAATCTTTCAGGAGCTAGCGGATAACTGTTATGGTCTTTATGTAAGGAATTTGGATATTCCAAGTCAACTTCTAGTATGTACCCTTTATTCGCATCAACCTTGTTGATATCATTCACATCGACCCACTCAAAACCACCCATGGGTAAAGGTTGACTAATAGCCAATCTGTACAGATTGTTGGCGTCGAGATATAATATGTGCGTGTTGGGTTTACTCGGATCATATCCTTCCACTAATTTATTATTAGCCTTAGAATACCTTTTCCCTACCATCGATATACCACCTCTTAATCCTTTCTCAATAAACAAATGCATATCATAATCTGTGAGTAATTTCCGTTCTACGCCGGTCTTCTTCAACAATGCATCCTACGATAGTCCGGGACTGGAATAGTACCATGCCGAGTCCAAGCCGTATTGTCTTAAACATGTCTTTCTAAATATATCGGCGAGTAACAGTACATCGGTTTTTAAGTACAGATCGTGATAATCGCCTAAATTCTTACAACCTAATTTATCCCAGACCGTCAGAGCGTGTTCATAATCGGCATTGGTTATTTTAGATTCTGTTTAGATTTAGTTACTATAGAATGATTCAACGGGTGGTAATTTAGTTTCGTTGAATCTAGACCAATCATCCATATATTCGTAAGGATATACACCTTTTCTCAACAACAAATGACGAGTTTACCGATCAAGATATTGATTTGTTATTGCAAAGTCATCGGGATTGTTTGCATTAGCTAAATTGTCCAGGGAAGAAACTGTATGGAGTCTATGAATCTAAGCCCATTACTTTGCTTTATTCTGGCTTTCCCATCCTTGTCCGTATAATGCATAGTTTTAGTCAACGAGAACAATATGTATTTTTCCATATTATTAGGAATACAAGTTAAACCGCCGTCAGCCTTTGAGATAGCTTGCATGATGAGATGTGAATCATATCCTCTAAGGTTGTGAAACACAACGGGGATGGGTATTGTTTGAGAATTCATTTTTAGTTTCAAGTTACACTCGTTTTGCGCGGCTCCCCGATAATTACCCGTGACGTGGCAGTGATCTCTTACGGAATCCCCATTCAGAGGTTTATTACAAACATGACAACTCATTGACTTCTTATTGGCCCTCCAATCATCCCTCGTCAAACACATGGGTTTCTTACACGATAAATTTTCCCTGATTATTTTCTCTTCGTTTTGTAGATATTCTAGGAACTTTCCTGCTGCATTGGGACCTCTATAAATCACGGGCGGGTTTGTCTTCCCATCATACCTTACAGCTTTATATCCAAACCCACAAGGAATATGTTTGATAAGTGCTTCGAAGTCGGACATCTTTTTCGATCAGAAATGAATTGATTCTGGGAATATGTTCCGGAGCGGAGCTTATCCTGTGTACAACAATTCCTTTAGAAGAATGTCCGAAAACATTTATAGCTAAATTATTTTGCTTTTCCGCCTTATCAATTTGTGAGATTGGTGTAGGTTTGTCTATACCATCAAGGTTGAGTCCATCGTTTTGGAGATAGCTCGAAGGTCTATCCGGATGTTTGTCTACGGGGAACAATGCAGATCTTATCATCATTCTGAAACAGTCAGCTGCTTTATTTTTTACATTAATTATGGCTTTTTTCTTTTTATAATACGAGGGTAAATCTATATAAGATCCACCTTTGAAAGGCATATAATTTGCTATATCTAAATATAAACTATCAGTTTTATCCACACCCCAACCCTTACCTCTATTAGTCCAGCGTTCTAAAGATTCTTGTATCCTCTGAATTGATGAATCTAATGATGCGTTTATAGAATCGAATTCAGTTATAACTTCT